TCCAGTGCGGAGCAAACAAAATTCTGGCGCAATGTTCACTTTTCCAGGACGTTTAATGATGCTCTAATGATACCCCAGGACCTTCATTAAGTTAATGACGCACTAATGACAACAGAGCATCATTAAAACGTTAGTACAACAGAATTTAATGATACATTAGTTAATGAACGTTTAATGGCACGTTAATGCTTCATTAAAGTTTGATACAACCGGGTCCAGGACCTTCATTAAGTTAATGACGCGCTAATGACAACACGACGTCATTAAAACGTTAGTACAACAGAATTTAATGATACATTAGTTAAAGGTCACATGCAACCAAAAAAAATCAAACATAATTAAAACACAATTATCACTTCTTCATGACATATAATATGCATTGCTGATAATGAAAAAACAAATAAACAAAATTATAAGCGTATAATCGCAAATCAAAAGTGCAATATTTTGTACTTGGGTTTACCTCCCTCGAAACGAAGCAGCCGGGATACCGAACCCAGTCAGAGCGGGTGGGTGTGCACTCAAGTGTAACGGCTGGTTCATTAGCAGATGCCTCCTTCACAGCTCATTGTGTGTGTATATATAGAGATGTTGGGTTTTGTAAATACATGCTCATTTTTTTGTGTATAACATTTTGCAATCAACAGACATCATAACATGTCATGTGTTCAAGTATCACACCTGCCTGTCTGTGTAATTACATAATGTGACAGAGACCAAACTCGGGCCATAAATCAATGCGTTTTGTTTATGGTGTATAGCCTGATTGGTGTTAAGTTCAAATTGCATGTGGTCAGTGATCGCAGTTGTGTATTGAATATTGTCATTAGCAGACAGGCAGGCAGACACACAGGTGTCAATAAAACAAGACATTAAGTTTTGTCTGTGACAGCGACATATCTATATCACAGTTAGAAATTCTGTCAACGCTAAATAATGCCATTGCTTTTAAGTATCGAACTGAGAAAGTGACTCGGTAAGAAGAACGTGTGGTGAAATAGACAAATGAAATTATATAAACAGTTTATTTACTGTCATAACATATAAAAAGCTCGCGCCTGTGAGATATCGACAAAACATTATGAAAATAGCTCACACCAAAGCCTTCACCGAGTATTCACCAGACAGCCCGCTTCCAAGTTACGCGAACCTATTTCACTGCGCACGTGCTATGAGCGCAGCCCAGCTGTTGAAACCCGTATTCCCCAGAAAAGTCTGGGGAAAATTAGTGAAACGTTTGAACTCCGATTTCGCGCGTTTTTTTTCATCGCGTTATTTTTCAACTTTATAAGTTGAATTTGCATTTTTGACGCTTTGTTTTGGTAAGTCCATACCGAAAGGTATCAGAATCTGCAAAGTTGTGTTTTACGTTGCATGTGACCTTTAATGAACGTTTAATGGCACGTTAATGCTTCATTAAAGTTTGATACAACCGGGTCCAGGGGGTTAAACGTTTTTAACGATCTACGGATCAAAGCAGCGTGGAAATAGGCCAGTGTGACATTCAAACAGTGAAACCACGTGTTCCTGATTTGGACTTTTTATTCTTATTACGATAAGGATAATTTATCAGGCTGTGCGTTTATATTCGTCATGGAGAATGAAGAAACAGCACCAGTCAACACTTTTTGTGTGCCTGTTCCCAAATTTTCAGGTAAGAAGGAAGACTTTCCAACGTATGCTGAACGTTTCCAATAATGACGGCCAATAATATAGATCTAGTGGATGACCAAAGAATTATTCACATATTTATTTCGTCCATGGGAGACGAACTATACAAATTGGCACGTGACTTATTTTCACCAGCGAAAGTAAGTGATCAAACATCTAAGGATGTAATAGACAAACTTTCACAACATCTTCACCCCCCTCCTAACGTTATTACAGCTCGCTGTACATTCAATAGGACAGTTCAGAGAGCAGATGAAGGCATAAATACGTTTGTGGCTAACCTGCGCAGAATTGCAGAAGATTGCAATTATGATGGACATTTGACAATGTGGTTACGAGACAGATTTGTTGCCGGGGTGTACAGTGAAGCAATTAGACGACGGTTGTTACAGGAGAAAGCTACAATGACATTCCAAGCAGCCTATCAAATAGCGTTGTCGATGGAAACAGCCAACAAGGAAGCCAAGGCGATTCAAGGCAGCACCTCCTCAGTCAACAAGTTGTCAACATCTCAGAGAACTGGACCACCAAGAAACAAAATTAAAGGTGACAAGTACAAACCATGCACAAGGTGCAACTCGACAGAACATCTGCCACCAAATTGTCCTTACATTTCAGCCAAATGTAATAACTGTAGAAAGGTTGGACACATCTTCCGTGCGTGCCGGAGCGCTAAAACAGAGGATACAAAAAGGAAACAGCCCAAGGGTAATCCTAAGAAATCTACTCATCACATTGATGTTGAGGAGCCAGACGTGGAAGCAGAACATGAGGATGTGTTTGAGGAACTGTTCATGATTTCTTCTGTACTGCAGGAAGGAGGTACTGGAAAGTGGAAGAAGACTGTGATGGTAAATGAAAAGCTGATGAGGCTTGAGGTGGATTCAGGGTCAGGTGTTACCTTAGTCAATAAGGAAGTCTACAAGTCAACATTTCCAAACATGCCATTGACTGAAAGCACATGCAGACTAGAAGCATATCTAGCAACTAACATTCCAGTATTGGGAAAACTAAGTGTGAAGGTTGACACGGAGCCAGAGATCAGAACACTGTCTCTAGTAGTGGTGGACGGGAATGGCTCATCGTTGTTAGGAAGAAACTGGTTGAAGTACATGGAACCTTGGAAAAGTGTTCTCTCAACACACAACATCAAATCTTCGGGGATGGGCCAAGACAGCATTGGTCAACTGTTCACAGAATTCCTGGAAGTGTTTGACGAAGGTCTAGGACATCTCAAGGAATGCACAGTGATATTAGATGTCAGAACAGACTCCCATCCAGTATTCTGCAAAGCTCGCACAGTACCACTTGCGCTGAAAGAAAAGGTGGAGGAAGAAATTGATAGAATGGAAAAGGAAGATATTATTGAGAGAGTGAAGTACTCACAATGGGCCACTCCAGTTGTTCCCGTCCTGAAGTCATCTGGAGAAGTGCGGCTGTGTGGGGACTACAAAACAACTCTCAACAGGTTTCTACAAGTGGAGACTTACCCAATTCCCAAGGTGGAAGAGCTGTTAGCCAATTTGAATGGAGGTGAGGAATTCACCAAATTGGACTTGAAACATGCTTATCAGCAGTTGGAACTTGATGAGAAGTCAAGAAGACTGACTACTATCAACACTTCCAAAGGGCTTTATCAGTTCAAACGTTTACCATATGGTGTGAGCACCAGCACTCTTCCAGCGGACAATTGAGATGGTTCTCAAAGGGCTGAAAGGAGTGGTCGTGTTCATGGATGACATATGTGTCACTGGCCACAACAAGCGACAACATATGTCCAACCTGAAGGCAGTACTAGGAGAACTACAAAAAGCAGGACTGAAACTGAGACAGGTCAAGTGCAAGTTTTTCCTGAAACATGTGGAGTTCCTTGGTTTCAAAGTGGATAAGGAAGGAATACATCCAACCGAAGAAAAAGTCAGGGCAATCCAACAAGCACCAGAACCCAAGAAAGTGTCTGAACTGAGGTCATATCTGGGAATGCTGAATCACTATGCAAAGTTCATGCCTAACCTTGCAAGTACAGTGGCACCACTTTATGATCTTCTGAAGAAGGACAAGGACTGGTACTGGTCAAAGAAGGAACAAAAATCATTCCAGGAATCAAAAGAGTTCTTAATCAACGATACCTTCCTGGTGCACTACAGTTTGGATAAACCTTTGGTACTATCCTGTGATTCTTCACCATACGGAGTTGGAGCTGTGCTGCAGCACCGCATCAATTCGGAAGAGAGACCTGTGGCATACACTTCTCGAAAACTGACCAGCACAGAACAAAACTACTCACAGTTGGAAAAAGAAGGACTTGCAATTGTCTTTGGAGTGTCAAAATTCAGACAATACCTGCTGGGACGTCATTTCACGCTGGTGACAGATCATCGTCCATTACTGAGATTGTTCTCACCTTCAAAGGAAACTCCAGTGATGGCTGCATCGCGCATCAAAAGATGGGGACTGATACTTGCTTCATTCAACTACGAGATTGAATACAGAACTTCTAAGCAGAATGCTCCAGCTGATGGGTTGTCACGACTGCCCCTCATATCAGAGCAAGATGACAGTGGAGATCACAACAGTGAGTTGATCCTTCTGATCAATAGGTTTGACGAAGAATTGCCTATCACTGCAAGGCAAGTTGCTATGGGAACTGGGAAAGACCCAGTGTTACGACAAGTTCGATTGCTCACACTGGAAGGATGGCCACAGTATATTGAGGGAGATCAAACAGACTTGAAGCCATATTTCCAGAGAAAATTGGAACTGAGTGTGGAGCAAGGTGTTGTTTTATGGGGCACAAGAGTAGTTATCCCAAGTGACTTCAGAGAGGCAACTGTTGGAAGAGCTGCATGGTGAACATTCAGGAATGGTAAGAATGAAGTATGTGGCCAGATCAATCATGTGGTGGCCAGGACTAGACAGTCAGATTGAGGAAAAGGTGAGACAATGTCTTGATTGCCAGGAGATAGCAAATCAACCTGCAGCAGCTCCGCCGACAAGTTGGAAGTGGCCATCATCGCCATGGTCACGACTTCATATCGAATGCCGGACCATTCCAAGGACACTCCTTCTTAGTCGTGGTGGATGCACATTCCAAATGGATGGAAGTTATTCCATTATCGTTAACCACAGCCACAGTCACTATCAAGCATCTCAGAAAAATCTTCTCAACATTTGGTCTTCCAGAGCACATTGTATCCGACAATTGGGCACAGTTTACCTCTGAAGAATTCCAGACATTCTTGAGGAGGAACAACATTCGTCACACTAGGACAGCGCCAAACCACCCAGCTACTAATGGACAAGCCGAGAGAGCTGTGGAATCCTTCAAAATGGCACTAAAGAAAATGAAAAACCAAACAGGTGATGTTCATGACAAACTGCAGAGGTACTTATTCTCATACAGAACGACTGTCCATGCTGCAACAGGGAAGACCCCAGCTGAGTTGCTCATGAGGCGCTCATTACGAACTCGGTTATCAGCGTTGAGACCGACACGAGAAGGATTGATGATCAAAAATGATGATGCAGAAACTGAAGTGCCAAGATTCTTCAATGTGGGACAAGCTGTCTTTGTTTTGAACTTTGGAGTTCAAGGCTCAAGATGGGTACAGGGGACAGTTTTGGAACGACTGGGTGATAGGAATTATCATGTTTCCGTCGGACAACAGGTGTGGAAGAGACATGTTGACCAGATGAGACCACGTCTGGAAGTTTCACGACAGTCAGTACAAGGTAGCCCGGAGATGTCAGTGTTTCTGGGATCAGCAGAAAGCACAGTGATGGCACAGCAACCATGTGTTCTTGTGGGATCTAAGGGGTTGACAGAACCAAAAGTGGAAATTGAAGTCAACCAGAAGCAGGTGTCGGATGCAGAAGAACTAAAGGAGAGGCGTTACCCTACCCGAGATCGACGTCCTCCAGTTCGATATGAGTGTGACAAGTGAAAAGACTGTAAATGTGTTGTCAGTGTTATCAGTAAATATTAGCGCCCAAATTAGGCTATTTTCCTTTCAAAGTAAGAATATGGACATTTCAGTTTACTGCTAAAGACTTTAATTTGTTCAAATGGAAGAGTTTGCTTCTAGTCAGTTTCCAATATTCCAGTTGTGTTAAATTTTCTTGCAATTTTGTAGGAGCAACCAAAAAGTTTCCAGCGGTGAAAACTTAGGGGGGAATGGTGTAGTGTATGGGCTTGTGTGGCAGATACATGTATGGGAGACAACTCCTGCAGCCTTATGTGACGGTAGCGGCAAGCTGATTAGAGTTTCGTCCCTTGGGGACCCCTGCTTGTAACCCCCACTTCCTGAGTAAACGCTCGACGTAGAAGTCATGGTATTTTGTGTTCTGTTCGGCCACGGCCTTGTGTATAAGATTCAAATACACAACAACACCTTCTTGTTTATTGCATAGAGCGACGTTTCGATGTAGATTCTTACACGTTTAGATTGATAACGGTGTAACGATCTATATGGAAACGTCGCTCTATGCAATAAAGAAGAAGTTGTCATCCATAAAGTTGTATGCTTCATTTTTGACTCACCAACTTCTAGAATACCGATCAAACAATTCATTCATAAGCATAAGGAACCAGATCCGCAAGGAGGGGAGCACAATTGGTGTTGCCCTTGTCGAAATGTATGTATGTATGTTGTTTTTGTTTTGTTTTTGATTTTTGTTGTTTGTGTGTGGTGTGTGTGCGCGCGCGCGTGAGTGTGTGTGTGTGTGTGTGTGTTTCCCTAAGTTTGTTATGTGGGATAGTGGTATACAATGTTGAAAAATCAAATGTTTTGACAGAATGGAACTCTGAGATTGTAAAGATAAAAGCAGATCCTTGGAGTTTTTGAGAATCTACGTGGTACTTATTCCGCTTGTCTCAAATACTTTCTGTGAATATCTAGAAAGTCCTTCCTTGATAGTATTAAGGGCTAAGGTCGATCTTTGAGACAGGGATTTGGTGGTACATTTGTTGGACCCAGTAATACAAAAGACATGTTTTCAGGTTAAGAGTCGAACTAAAAGTTGATTGCACCGTTGAAAAGGACTATGTACGGAATGGTGATTCTGATGGGCAATGAAGTAGGTTTGAGTCATGGTTTGGAAGTCTTGACGGTCTTGTTGATTGTCTTTAAGAAATAGTAGGATAACCGTTGAGAGGAGTTTTGTTCAGATGTTTAGATTCCCGTTTACCAGTGGGGTTATTCTGGATGGTTAGGTACATGGTGTTGTCGGAGAGGGTTTTGTTGAGGATTTGAAAAGTATTACCTATCTGCCTTGCCTATCTTACTCCCTTGGTCTATCTTGACACCCTGGTCTATGTTGACACCCTGATCTATCGTACTTCCTGGTCTATCGTTTCACCCTGATCTATCTTACCTCCTGGTCTATCGTTTCACCCTGGTCTATCTTGACACCCTGGTCTATCTTGACACCCTGGTCTATGTTGACACCCTGATCTATCTTACTTCCTGGTCTATCGTTTCACCCTGATCTATCTTACTTCCTGGTCTATCGTTTCACCCTGGCCTATCTTACTCCCTTGGTCTATCTTGACACCCTGGTCTATGTTGACACCCTGATCTATCTTACTTCCTGGTCTATCGTTTCACCCTGATCTATCTTACCTCCTGGTCTATCGTTTCACCCTGGCCTATCTTACTCCCTTGGTCTATCTTGACACCCTGATCTATGTTGACACCCTGATCTATCTTACTTCCTGGTCTATCGTTTCACCCTGATCTATCTTACTCCCTTGGTCTATCTTGACACCCTGGTCTATCGTTTCACCCTGATCTATCTTACTTCCTGGTCTATCGTTTCACCCTGATCTATCTTACCTCCTGGTCTATCTTGACACCCTGGTCTATCTTGACACCCTGGTCTATGTTGACACCCTGATCTATCTTACTCCCTGGTCTATCGTTTCACCCTGATCTATCTTACTCCCTGGTCTATCGTTTCACCCTGATCTATCTTACTTCCTGGTCTATCGTTTCACCCTGGCCTATCTTACTCCCTTGGTCTATCTTGACACCCTGATCTATCCTACTTCCTGGTCTATCGTTTCACCCTGATCTATCTTACTCCCTGGTCTATCGTTTTACCCTGATCTATCTTACTTCCTGGTCTATCGTTTCACCCTGATCTATCTTACTCCCTGGTCTATAGTTCCACCCTGATCTAACTTACTTCCTGGTCTATCGTTTCACCCTGATCTATCTTACTCCCTGGTCTATCGTTTCACCCTGGTCTATCTTGACTTCCTGGTCCATCGTTTCACCCTAATCTATCCTACTTCCTGGTCTATCGTTTCACCCTGATCTATCTTACCTCCTGGTCTATCGTTTCACCCTGATCTATCTTACTTCCTGATCTATCGTTTCACCCTGGTCTATCTTGACTTTCTGGTCCATCGTGACACCCTGGCCCCGATTTCCTGAAACAAACTTAAGTCTGAGTTTTGACTTAAGTGAGAGTATTTACTCTAATTTGAGAAAACGCAGGAAAATGCATTTTAAAAGAACTGAAATCAGTATTAAACTCAAACACAGCAGACAATTTGAGTTTGAGTTACTTAAGTTGTTTGGGCTTTTTTATTTTAAAAATGCAGCTGAGTTAAAACTTCAGCAGTTTCAAATTGTCAAACTCAGTTTGAAATTTGAGTAAAAACTAAAGTTTGTTTCGTGAAATCGGGGCCGGTCTATCTTACTCGCTGGTTTATTTTACTACCTGGTATGTCTTGACTACCTGGTCTGTCTTCACTACCTGGTCTGTCTTCATTACCTGGTCTGTCTTCGCTACCTGGTCTGTTTTGACTACCTGGTCTGTCTTGACTACCTGATCTGTCTTGACTACCTGGTCTGTTTTGACTACCTGATCTGTCTTCACTACCTGGTCTGTCTTGACTACCTGGTCAGTCTTCACTACTTGATCTGTCTTGACTACCTGGGCCCACTTGCACAGAACGATCTTAGCGCTACAATTATTGTAATTCCTTAAGATCGCGATCTTAGGCTTCGGTTACAATCGCCATCTACTTGCACAAAGCAATTGTAGGCTAAGATCATTGTAAGTTACAATCGAAACTTACAATTGGTCCAGACCATTTAGTCATTTTAGAAATGGCATTCAAATTAGTGTCTGTTTCACGCAAATAATCAGCTATACGTTTGGAGATTGCATTTATATTGCATAAAACTGTGTGGTTCGCCTCGACACTTCAACAACACGGAGAATGCACAACCGATTTAACGTCGGATGCATTGTTATTTACTGTAGTGAAACACATAACTATCGAGTCGATATCACAAAGTACTATTCCCACCCAATTCAATGTTGGAATAAGTGTGAAACAACATACCTTTTTGATAATCAAGGAAAGGATACTAGCAAATGGTGTCCGCGTGCGATTAACAATGGCCGTGACCTTTTCATTAACTCAAGAGCAGATAATTTTACTTTATACGCAAGATGGGAGTGGTTTCCCTTGGCATATGCCGTTGCCGTACAGTCTGTCATGCCCATTGCAGAGCTCAACATACTGATATCTCTTTTCGGTCATGGAGTGATTTTGTCTTAGTTTATCATTAAAGTAATCTACAAGTAGATACAAGTTAACGTGCAAAATGAAGTTTCTTTCTCATCCATAAATCTAAATTTGATTATGCAATTTAAATATATACAAGTAGTCATCAAATAGGGATATACACATGATGAGGCATTAAAGATATTTATCAACGCAATAGGGTTAAATAATTAATATACTGTGAATACGTATTTAATAACTACTCTCTTGAATATTATTTAATACACGTATTTCCCTGCCATGCATTCTTTACAACACTTCTGTAGCCATTGTTTTTTATTGTATTTTATTCTCGGATATATTTAGGATTTTACAACCACCCCCAACCCCCGCCACCAACAGCTGCGTATTAAACAATGTCTCATTGACAACCATTGGCAAATCATACATTTAGGTGTTATATCATAAGGAAATACCGTTTATATTTGTTATTTTAAGTTCCATAATTAAGTCACTAAATCTAGATTCAAATTTATTCATGTATTTTTCGTATTTCAGTATTTTCATAAAACATGGGTAGGTATTTCTGTGGTTGCAATATCACATTCTCAGTTCATAAATCAAGACAGTTAGAATGTAGAAAAATATATGCTATCGTCCACGTAATCGGTTCCTTCTAAGATTTCTGGGACTTTTTCATGAAAATTCTGCAAGGTGCGATTGAGGGAGGTATGTATTGTGTGCTGGGACCAGTATCACTTTTATTTGCGCAGCATGCTATGCGCACTTTCAGACAACTGTAGACGGGAGTCGAGTTTAAGAAATTCGCACCCACCGTTGAAGGGTTCGATCTTAGCTAAGATCGCGATCTTAAATACATGCCGTCTTACAATCGCTCTAAGATCGGCTTTGTGCAAGTGGATTAGGGCAAATTGTATGGCGATTGATTGTAACTAAGAGTTGATTGTAGGGGCCTAAGATTGATTGTAACTAAGACTTGCTCTGTGCAAGTGAGCCCAGGGCCCACTTGCACAGAACGATCTTAGCGCTACAATTATTGTAAATCCATAAGATCGCGATCTTAGGCTTCGGTTACAATTGCCATCGACTTGCACAAAGCGATTGTAGGCTAAGATCGTTGTAAGTTACAATCGAAACTTACAATTGGTCCGGACCAATTTAGGAGCTAAGATCATTGTAGTCTGTGACAAAATGGTGTTCAAGTTTCAAGCATATAATCAGCTTTACGTTTGGAGATTGCTTTTATATTGCATAAATTGTACTGTATGATTCGCCTCGACACTTCAACAACACGGAGAATGCACAACCGATTTAACGTCGGATACATTGTTATTTGCTGTAGTGAACCACAGAACTATCGAGTCGATATCACAAAGTACTATTCCCACCCGATTCAATGTT